TGGCATGCATGGAGGACTCATCGTTAACATGCACAAACTGAAACCGATCTGATAAATAGGACCTAAACTAACTTAGAACGGCTCCTTTAATGCTGATGAAATGTTCCAGTCTCTGTAGTAGGATCTGATGGTCAATGGTGTCAAAAGCAGCACTAAGATCTAATAAAACCAAGACAGAGACGAGTCCTTTGTCTGATGCCATTAGGAGGTGATTAGTAATTTTCACCAGTGCGGTCTCTGTGCTATGGTGAGCTCTAAATCCTGACTGAAAATCCTCAAACAAGCTATTGCTATGTAGATAGTCACACAGCTGTTTGGCTACTGCTTTCTCCAGGACCTTGGAGATGAATGGAAGGTTGGATATAGGTCTATAGTTGGCTAAAACATCTGGGTCCAGGTTAGGCTTTTTCAAAAGAGGCTTAATTACAGCAACTTTAAAGTACTGTGGCACATAGCCTGTTAATAAGGACAGATTGATCACGTCTAGCAGAGAAGTACCGACTAAGGGTAGGACTTCTTTAAGCAACCTAGTCGGGATGGGATCCAAGAGGCAAGTTTTCCACACCTTTCTGGAAAGAAAGGCCTAAGCAAGGCTTCCCGTCTGATTTTAACCGACAACCTCCCAGATGTGATCAGTTCCTTAAATAATGTGATTTTTACACCCTTTTCCTCCTTGAACGGTGCATTTAAGTGCTAGTAGACAGCTGGGACATCTGTTTTTAGTGATTTCTTTCCTTCTGTTAGCCAAGTCAGTACAGATGTATTTCTATGGAACTAGATGAGTTTGTAACCATTAGCTCTGATATCTTTTAATGTCTCTCCTTTATTAGGGGGCCACTGTCTGCAGCAGGCCCACTTATTACTATTTTGCATATTTATTCCGTGACTTATAGTTCTCCCATTTATGACCGAATTTCAGCTCGTAACAAGTCCCGCACGGTTTGATGGATTGGGCCCAAAAAAGACACGCATGTCTGAACTGACAACGGAACCTATGCTTGAATTTCTCTTTCTCATTAGTCCCAGCATTTTTTTAATAAACGGCGAAAAATGCGAAATGCCATCCCATAGGAAATGAATGGGAAGGCCAAAAAACGGGCCGAGATGGTGGCCGCTTCTGGGCCTAATCGCTCTGACCGAAGACCTTCGACAAACCATGTTCGAGCATTAAACAGGTCACGAAAGACAGGCCTTTTACATACTGGAGCCAAAAGGCCTGATCTCGCAACGTTTGGCCGCAATCGCTGTTGACGTTTTGGCAAAAATCAGAGAAATCCCAAAATCTGCCCTCCACTCTGGTGACATCATCAAAGGGTGTAACTTTCCAGTAGGGATATTTTTTTTAAAAAGGTCAAACTCCCGCCTCTCACGACCAAACCGTAGGGCTGAGTGGGACCACAAACGCCTCAAAACGTAGCCACGGGTGTCCTCTTTTGGCTGATGTGCCCACTTTTGACCTCGGACGTAC